GTGTGTGTGTGTGTGTGTGTGTGTAGATGATCAGACCCGAGTGGTGTTGTCTCCAACCTCAGAGTCACATTCAGATTACATCAATGCCAGCTTCATCAAGGTGACAGTGACACACACACACACACACACACACACATGCACACACACACACACACACACACACACATGCACTCTCTCTCGTCCCCTCCTCCTTCCTGTAGTCCTCTGTTTGTCCTCCAGGGGCCCTCAGGTGACTGCAGGTACATTGCCTCTCAGGGGCCCCTCAGCTCCACTCTGGTTGACTTCTGGAGGATGATCTGGCAACACAAGATAAAGGTCAGACACACATCTTCATCCAGGAAATAATCTGATCCACACAAATAACACAGATTCATAAACCAACTTAATTCAGTAAATAGTCCAAGCCCCACAGTTAGGACGTATTTAGAAACCATTGTCGTCCAGGAAATAGTCTGATCTGCATAAAGAGCATATGTTCATTACCAACTTGATCTATGAAATAGTCTGTGTCACACTGTGAACTCATATTCATGAGCTCTCTTTGTCCAGGATGTAGTCTGAGCCACACAGTGTGCTCTCACTTCTGACAGCATGTGTCAGAAGTGACACATGGTGAGTTTCCATGGTGACACAGAGAGTGTGTCATACTTATACCGTGTATAGGCTGAGCTTAGATAGAAAGTGATGCGGGAGTCGACTCGAGACTTGTACTGTTCTCTTTACTAGCATCACTTACACTGTACACCTGCTCATGCACCTGAGAGCTGTGACAACAACTAGGTACGGATACAGATTAGGGACATAAAGACGGCATACCGTGTACGCACTTTGAGCAATACGTTACAGCAGTGAGCTGTCTTTGTCCAGGATGTAGTCTGAGCCACACAGTGAAAACACACCTGAGCGCTGACTGGTTCTTCTGGTTTCAGATGGCTCAGTCTAACGTGTGGTTCTCTGTTTCAGGTGATAGTCATGGCCTGCAGGGAGACTGAGATGGGAAAGGTAAAACTAACACAAACTTTTAAAACTTGTTTTTTATTGTTTGTGCGTTTTGGGGATTTTAAAAGGTTCAAACCCGCCTGAAGGTTGAAGGACTTTAAAAAAATGTGGACTTCATTTATTTATTTATTTATTTTCCATCAGAGCTGAAACTCCAACGTTATCTTTTATTTTGTGGATCTTATCAACATGTCTTGTCTCAGTCAGAGCCACTGAGCTCTGGCTGCTTGTACCAGAACATCACACGAAGACCCTCTGATGTGGTCTCTGATGTCCAGGAGGATTCTGTCCAGACTAAAATAAAATATCTGTACTTTGAGCTCGTTGGAAGTTTTATAAACTTAATCATTTTGAGCCTAAATAATTTTTGTTTTCTCAGTTTTTTTCTGTTTGACCAACATTTTTCAGAATTTTGTTTTCACTCTGTTTTCTCTGCAGAGGAAGTGTGAGAATTACTGGGCTCCAGTTCTTCAGTCCGCAGCCTTCGGACCGTTTACCGTCTCCAACGTAAGAACTCTTGATTTGAATGCCAGCAGGGGGTTCTGATGACACATGGTTCTGTTCAGACTGCACCGAAACAGGGAGCAGCCAAAGTCCAGACAAAGACCTTCTAAAGTCTGGAGAACTGTCGATCCAGAACCACTTTAACAGATTAATGGAAGGACTGGATCTTTGGAAGATTGATCCGGACTGGATCTGGACTGGATCTGGACTGGATCAGAGTGTTTTTAACTGGAATTTTTGTTATTAGTCAGAAGGTTTGATTGTGTTGTGTCGTTTTGTCTTGTTCTTGTGTTTCTCCAGCAGAGGGAGGTCCGACACAATGAAGACCTCCTGGTCAGAACTCTGACTGTCTGCTACCAGCAGGTACAAACTCACTTTGCTTCAAGAAATCAGAATACAGTAGAAGTTCTGAACTCCTCTAAAAAAGTTAAATCTGGTCCTCTGGACATTCAAAAAACAAAACGAAGCAAAACAACAAAACAAAAAAATGTAGAAACGTTTCATCTTTCATCCAGA